AAAAAAAAATAATTATATATATATATATATATATATATATATACACATACTGTGTCACACTCATGTAGTAAGATGTACTTTAAATACCTTCACAGAAAGAAACAAATGCACATCATGCAAAAAAAAAAAAAAAGCCCACTTGTTTGCACCAGTGATTCTAACATCGTGTCTCTCAATTCAGAAAGAAAACTTTGGCCTGTACGCATTATACAGCAAGAACAAGCCTCGCTCTGAGAGGCTGCTCATCGATCACGGGAGAGAGTTCTTTAAGGTGAGATTTTCCTCCATCAGTCATCCAAATGTCATATTTTAAGGTAATTTCATTAGTATTCAGTAGAATTTGAATGTATGAACAGATTTACGTGGCACAAAGTTAGACATATAAAAACAACACAAATAAAAGTAAAATAATGAATTAAAAATAATATATACGACATATACAAATAAATATGGGATAAACTTAAAAAACTAAAAAATATTCATGTTGCCTTAAAGTACTAAAATTACTAAAGCTAAAATTAATTTAGCTTTATGAATTAAAGCCGAACAGAAATATTTTTAAATCAATAAAAAGAACAAAAGCACATATAAAAATGACTAAAATTCATTTATCAGTAAATCATAGAGAAACTTTGCCAGAGAAAGCCATTTTTAATGACAAATGTATGAAATCCCATTCATAGCATCTCATTTTTTTACAAATACAATGAAATCAATCTATGAATTCAATATTCTTTGACCCTCAACAAAAGCATTTGTACATTTGTGTGTAAAGTATTACATACATAAATGATCTCTATCCAGCTCCTTTCTGTTAAAGCTTGCAAAATAAAAGGGAAAAAAATTCCCATCAGAAAAAAGATGATTATGAAAAAGTTTATCTGCTAATGTGATATTTCACACATCTGACAAATAAAAAACTAAAAAATATTCATGTTGCCTTAAAGTACTAAAATTACTAAAGCTAAAATTAATTTAGCTTTATGAATTAAAGCCGAACAGAAATATTTTTAAATCAATAAAAAGAACAAAAGCACATATAAAAATGACTAAAATTCATTTATCAGTAAATCATAGAGAAACTTTGCCAGAGAAAGCCATTTTTAATGACAAATGTATGAAATCCCATTCATAGCATCTCATTTTTTTACAAATACAATGAAATCAATCTATGAATTCAATATTCTTTGACCCTCAACAAAAGCATTTGTACATTTGTGTGTAAAGTATTACATACATAAATGATCTCTATCCAGCTCCTTTCTGTTAAAGCTTGCAAAATAAAAGGGAAAAAAATTCCCATCAGAAAAAATGATTATGAAATAGTTTATCTGCTAATGTGATATTTCACACATCTGACAAAAAGTAAAGTACTGGGCAAACACGCACTGGAAGAGTTCTGGAGAGTTCATTCTCTTGGAAATCCATGCCCTCAGGATAAATCTTTCATTTGGCAGAAGTTTGCTTCTTCTTGAAATGAGTGGCATGATGATTTGCATATAAATACCTGTCAGAATAAATCAACTCTGTCATAAACCGTGGGCGCTTTTCCAGACGGGACACACATAAAACAAATATTCAGTGTTAACCTTGCAAAAAAGTCATAACAGCATTTATGATATATTTCTATAAAAATCTCGTTGACCTCATGTTATTAATAAACAAACAAGATGGTGCATAAAATGTCCTATTTAGACAATTATTGATGAGTTTAATCTTTACATTCAGCATCTAATGAATCAGTTTAGATTGTTTTACTTCTGATGCCGTGCTTGTTTAGTAATTTTAGTTCAATCATGTGGATTGCAGCAGAAGCAGCAGCTGCTGGGTGATAAGATGGATCTGTCCTCGTATCTGCTGAAGCCGGTGCAGCGCATCAGTAAATACGGGCTGCTGCTGCAGGACATGCTGCGTGAGTGTGAGACCGGAGCGCACGCGGGACACGAGCGGCTCGAGATACAGACCGCGCTGAACTTCATCCAGTTCCAGCTCCGCCACGGCAACAACCTGCTCGCCATGGACGACCTTCAGGACTGTGATGTGAGCCTCATCGCTAAATAAAACTATTAACATTGTGGGTACTTAAAAATAAAGCTGAAATAAAGTCAAATATAAATATTAGATTTAAAAATTTTGAAAAAAGAAATGTTTCTTTGGCAACTAAGCAATAAAATTTTTGAAGTTCTAAAATTACTCATTTTAAAATACTAAACTAATTTAAAAATACTTTTAACGACTGAATGTGTTTTTTAAATCTAACTCATGCATTTAAGAAACAAACAAGATGATACATAAAATGTCCTCTTTGGACTATTATTCATGAGACTATTATTTTTTACATTCCTGAAAAATCAGTTTATAGTTTTTTTTTTGAGTGTAATACTTCTGATGCTTTTCTTCTAAATGAGTTTAATAATTCTAGTAAAATAATCTAAATTACTATTTTTAGTATATCCAAACTATTGTTTTTGGTAATTCTAGTAATATAATCTATGAACTAAGTTAAATTTAAGGTGAAATAAATTAAAATATAAATACTGGATAAAACAATATTAAACTTAATTCAACTTAAATACTTGAAATGTTGCCTTGGCAACCAACTAAAATAAATATGTTGAAGTACTAAAATTACTCATTTTTAAGTTACTAATTTTAAAATATTAAACTAGTTTAAAAATACTTAAAAATACTAATTTATTAATAAAATAAATTGAGCTTCATAAATGATAGTTAAATAGAGATAATTAAAAATAATAGTAAAAAGGATGAAATTACTAAAACTCAAATTAAAATTAAATCTGAAAATACATATAAAAATGTAACAAAAAATTACAATATTAATAAATACTATAATAGTATATTCATAATACTAAAATGACACTGGAGTGATAGAGAGATGAGATTACAACATCTCAGAAAACCCCAATTCCATTTTAGCTTACAGAACTAGGCACATTTCTTCTTCAACCCTGTAATTTAAAAAAGCATGTCATGGCAAGCGTCATTATTGCACATACTGAGGGTTCGTGATTTGAGATGATGTATTAAACTTCAGTGTGTAAAATGCTGAGAAGCGGAGCTGCTACAGAACAGACTCATGATTTGTACCTGGTGAATGATCATGAAATACATTGAACTTACATTGAAGGAGGGACCTGAGTCATATCTAGAGAACAGAAAGTCACACAGATTTAAGGGTCGATCCTTTTGGCCAGTAAAACAAAAAGACCCTAGCAACTGCATAGCAACACTAAAATCCACTAAAAACACCTTAGAAATACAATAGCTGCACCTATCAACTTGCACAGGCAATCATCACCATAATTTCTTAAAGTTTGTACTGTTTACCTGCTTGCTTATAAATCTAAGATATATGTTGTTTTGCATAATAAGGCAAAACATATTTGTCTGCAAACTAAATGCAGACTGAAATAGAGATATTTTTATAGAACAGGATGGTCAGGCGTGAGATGGAGGTGAGTTTAGCCCACTTCACATACCGTCTGTAATTAGAAAGATAAATACGTTCATATTTCATGCATTTATTTTCAGACAGCAAGCTTTAAAAAAGAACAGTGAACTAACTCGTACACTCCCTTCACCTGTGTGCTGAGACAGTCGAGTTACTGTACTCTAATGTTATCTTAGGTTTAGACATGCTCTTCATCTTATCTATGACACATTCACTGCGGTTCTTCAGGATCAGTCTCGGTTCTGTCCTCTCCTCTCGGTGAAAATGATTTGTGTCTCAGGTAACTTTTCCAAGCAGCTCCCTACGCTTCACTTTTCTGTCTGCACATCAATCTCCACTTGAAAACCCAACATGAGAGCTGATATTAGAATGATTTCTGAAGATCATGTGACACTGAAGACTGGAGGAATGATGCTGAAAATTCAGCTTTGATCACAGAAATAAATTACATATTAATATTTACTCACATAAGAAACAGGTATTTTAAACTGTTATAATATTTCACAATATTACTGTTTTTATTATATTTTTGATCAAATAAATGCAGCCTTTTCCTTTAAAAATGTAAAAAAAACAAAAAAAAAGTAATTATTCCAAACTTTTGACCAGTAGTATAGATATAAAAGCTTTTGAAGGTGAATGCAAGTCTCTCTTTACAAACTTTATGTATGACATTTTGATTGTTGTTAAAAGACACTGAAAAAAGAATTTGAATGCAAAAGCAGTTGATTAATATAAAAGCATCTGCCAAATGCATTAATGTTATTTTGTTCATGTGTGTGCAGGTGAATCTGAAGGAACAGGGCCAGCTGATCCGTCAGGACGGGTTCCTGTTGACCTTCAGGAAGAAGAAATGCTACCGTCACATCTTTCTCTTCCAAGATCTCATACTCTTCAGCAAGACACGCAGAACCGACGTTCGGAATGCAGAACCGACGTTGGGAATGACACGTACATCTACAAACAATCCTTCAAGGTAAACCCCTGCATGAGGCATCAGTGAACAGCTCAAAATAGAGACGGCTTTCCCTTTCACTTTTGCTTTCTGTGCTCTCGCAGACTTCAGACATCGGTATGACCCATAATTTCGGTGACAGCGGGCTGTGTTTTGAGATCTGGTTTCGAAGGAGGAAGTCTCAGGACACGTATGTCCTTCAGGCACCGAGTCGAGAGGTGAAGGAGAACTGGACCAGAGACCTGGAGAGGATCCTGTGGGAACAAGCCGTCCTCAACAGAGGTGAGCACACAGTAATATTCAGGTCGCTTTTGTCTTGATAAACATGAATTATGATTATGGTGTGAATTAAATTCAGGAGCATTTAGAGCTAATCTAGTTTCTTGCTCTAGGTTTTATTTCAATTCAGGTTATTGTATTGCTTAAAGGGATAGTTCACCCAAAAATGAAAATCTGTCATCATTTACTCACCCTCAAGTTGTTCCAAACTTGTTATGTTGGCTTGATTATGGAAACACTATTCACTATTAACTAGTTGCTTATTAGCATGCAAATTAATAGCATATTAGTACTTATAAAGCACATATTAATGCCCAGATCCCTTAACGTTACCCTATACCTACAACTACCTACAACAACTATTTTTATTATTATTATATTATTTTTAACAACTACAACAACTACCTTACTATCAATAAGCAGTAATTTGAGGTTTATTGAGGGAAAACTCTTAGTTAATAGTGAATATGTGTTCCCTAACCTAAAGTGTTTACCGAATTTCTGTCTTCTGTTGAACACAAAAGAAGATATTTTGAAGAATGTTGGTAACCAAACAGTTTCTGGTCTCCATTGACTTCCATAGTATTTTTTTTTCATAGTCAGTGGGGACCAGCCACTGTTCGGTTGCCAACATACTTCAAAATATGTTGAAAACAAACATTGTGAAAGCAAATTAATGATTAAAAAATTAACCTGTGATTAGATTTGATCTCTCATTCTCTGGGAATCCATTGAAAAATTGCTGGCTTTTTGGAAATTCAATCCTCTTCAGGTGCAAATTCAAATTAAATCCCTAAATTAATCTACTGTAGGTTTACAGTAAAGCCGTGATTGAATGCAGTTATTGCTGCAATCCACTCTTTATCTTTAGTTATTTGTTTGATTATAAAATGAAAACCTCAGCACCTCACTGAGAATCAGAAATATGAATGTGCTTAAGTTAATGAAGCCTAAAGAACTGGTGAAACGTGATCTTGTATGTTGAGGAATGTGATAAGGAGTGAAAGATGAACGACAGAAGCTCACCTCCCATATGCAGCTGCATGCATTTATTCATCACTCTCACTTTTATCACATTTCCCGATAACAGTCCTCCCATTCGATGCGTCCCATAGATGTTTAACAGCTGTGCTTTTCCTTAGAATTGGTTGCACTGTTGTAGATGTGTGCATCAAGCATTGCTCGTGTCCATTCGCTTTTAACTCTCACGCACTCTGCACTTTTTGCACGATGCAATTTATAAAATAAAAAATTATAGACTTTTTCAGTCTGTATTGGATTCAGTGTGCGGCTAGCCACCTTCTTGTTCGTTTTTAAGGACCATATGTGACCCTGGAGCACAAAACCAGTCATAAGTAGCATGGGTATATTTGTAGCAATAGCCAACAATACATTGTATGGGTCAAAATTATTTTCTTTTATGCCAAAAATCATTAGGATTTTAAGTAAAGATCATGTTCCATGAAGATATTTTGTAAATTTCCTACCATAAATATATCAAAACGTAATTTTTGATTAGTAATATGCATTGCTAAAAACTTCATTTGGACAACTTTAAAGGTGATTTTCTCAATATTTTGATTTTTTTGCACCCTCAGATTCCAGATTTTCAAATAGTTGTATCTCAGCCAAATATTGTCCTATCCTAACTAGCTTATTTATTCAGCTTTCAGATGATGTATAAATCTCAATTTCAACTTACCCAATCAATTTCAATTTACCCTTATGACTGGTTTTGTGCTCCAGGGTCACATATATTATTAATAGCCCCAGCTTGTTTGTTTGCTGATCTCCACGCAGAGATCCGTATGCAGGAGAGGGTGTTCATGGGAATCGGTCATAAACCCTTCATGGATATCCAGCCCAGTGAGATGGCCATCAATGACCGAGCCGTCAACTGCTCTCCCACAGGACGAGGTGAAGCACCTGTCAGGGTTAAACGTTGGGTAGCTTGAGAGATTGATCTTATTTAACTCTATATGATATCGTAGGTGGGATTCCTGTCCTCCGGCTGAATTCTGTTGGCTCGGCCAGCTATACGTCATCCTCTGGAAGCCATTCGTCCTCCTCTGGGTGGGGATCCACGTCTCCTGTGGGTCATCTGATCAGTCCTAGTGGAGGAGATGTTGTCCGGTACGTCCACGGGACCTCAGGGATCCTGGAGGAAGATGATTTAGACCAGGAGAGCGGAAACCAGAGTACACTGGGTATGTCCTTCTTCACAATGCATCCTATTTTGGATGTTGTCTACACAAAATTTTAAATTTGTGATCAATAAAAGTGCAATTTAAAATTTACCTTATTTCTTAATACATATTTCTGGTCTTATTTTGAATGTTTCATCAGGTCATGTTTTTCTAAATTGAATAATTAGTTCTGATAATTAGCTTTTTTAAAACCATCTTATTATTTAGCCTCTCACACATGCACTGCAGTTCAACACCCAGGTGCATATATTGAGGTATACAGTATATGCAATATATGTTGCTAATAGGATGTTTTAATGTGCTGTGTTTCAGTGGAGAGTTCAGTGTCCTCAGGAGAAAGTGTTAGTTGCTTTAGCAGTTCTGGTCACAGCTGCTCGTCTGTGATTGGTGGAGACTGTGAACACACCCAATCTGAGGCGCCTGTCATTGGTGTGAAAAAAGCGTGTGCCCACAACCACGAATGCAGCGTGAAACCCACTAACCCACCAGGCCAAACCAGGGACCATTCGTGCACTACAGTACGGCATTTATGAAATTTCTACATTGTGAATTACCACTTTCGACACATTCAAGCTATTTTATAGTTATTTTTCAGTTGTGTTGAGATTTGGAATATTCTGCATATTTATATTTTAATTTACTCTCTTTGATCTTTACAGGTTCAAGGGACGAGCATCATAGGAAAGTCAACTGAAGTATAGCCCATCATGTATGTTTATACTGTAATAGCGTCATGCTTTTATGTTATCAGGCCCATCCTTTTTACCTTTTATACCTATCAATCCTGTGAAACTCTAAAATAAAGTTTATTTTATTTATTTATTTCAGTCTGAGTATGTAACATTGGTTCATGGAACTAACATTTAAATGTTAAAAACCTACAAAATCCTTTGTTTGTTTTTTACTTGTATTTCTGTTTCTACTTAGCCTTATTGCACAGGTGATAAAACACAAACAGTGGTGTAATCTTTTAATAAAATTGCTTTGATAAAATAAACAACTGAAGAGTTGTCATAAAGTCTCTGGTCTGCAAGAAATTATTTAATTCTCAGTGGAATTATTTTAAATGAACTGATTTATAAAAAGAATCAAACTTATTCTGTAAGCTTTGAATGAATGTGGAAATGTTAACCAGTAAAAACTGGTTCTTCAGCGCTTCTTCGGGTGCTATATAGCACCACTGCCATACAAAAAACCCATTAAGCCCCTGTATGGTTCTTAGTCTCTTAGTTTAGTTGAGAAAAGGATTCAAAAATGACTTTAAAATACAGTGTATTTCCTGAAGATAACGTGGTTCTCAACCTTTTTGCCCCCAAGGCCCCCCTATAAGGAAATATTCCAGGGCCCCCACACAAGACTTTTTGACCTCAGAAAAGCATCAAAGTGATTCAATATAGCTTTTGCCGTTATAGAAAATTCCCATTCATAGCAAACACACGAGAGTGGAATAACATACCAAAAATCTGAGGAGAATGAGGTTCCTCTTATGGTTCTACATTGCACCATTTGACAAAGCTAGAAAACCACAACAGAAGTGCTTTAGGACTGACCTGTGTAGTAGTTTCCTCTCTGTCTGTCTGTCTAGCCATTGGATTTATCTCAAGATTTCATAGTTCTTGATATTTACTGATGTTTGTGGTGGTGTTTGATTTACCAGAATGATGTCACTTCCTGCAGAATGATTACAGGACTGGATTTTGTTAGTTAAAGGGATTTTAACTAGCTAACAACAACAACAACAAAAACAACAACAAATAACAGGATGGAAAGTGAGGACATATGATATAAAGGCCTGTAAAATAATTACCATTTAATAACATTCTCAAGAAAACATTCCAATTACAGACAGGAAAAACTGAAGACACACCTAAAAGGGACTTTTTTTATTTTATTGTAGCAGCACCCAGAGACATGACAAAACACATCCACTCAAATTAGCATAAATAATATAAATATTTTGTGATTAAATATACAAAATAACATTATTTAAAAACGTGAGGTCATATTCAGTGTAATAAGACAATATTATACTATCAAGCAAATGCAAAGAAGGAGTGAGTAATATGTACTGTATGTCCGTGAGCTCTTTACGCGAGCGTGGGCGTGACGCTCTGACGCGCCGCTCCGGACAATAAAGACGCGTGAGTGTGAGAGATCGCGCACACTTTGGCTGTCACTGACTCAACACACAGCACTGGATCTCCGCAACATTAAAGCACAGCATTAACATGGGTATGTGCATTTCACACTGTATTTGCCATTGTTTTCAACTTGAAGATGCTATGAGTTATGATTGTTTTAATATTTATCCAAATGCATCTATCATATTTTCTGTTTTGCATCACGCTATAAAAAGTTTGGTGGTGTAGTAGATGCTCTCTCTCTCTCTCTCTCTCTCTCTATATATATATATATGTGTGTGTGTGTGTGTGTGTGTGTTTGTATATGTATGTAGAATGTGTAACCTAACATAATGCATAATAAATCCGTCATATTAAATAATACATTTGAATAAAGCCAGGTGGCCATTTAATTTTACTACATGAAGCATATTTTAGGTTACCTGATTTTTACACTGTTTACACCTAGATTATTGATAGATTTAAATGAATTTATTATGCTAAACTTCATTCATTAATTTATTGTGTGTGCATTGGTTTTGTCCATGATGGGTCAAACGCATCATTTAGGATGAAATGCACTTGCTTTGAATTTGTTTACATCAACTACTGTAATTATTTACAGCCTTTCTTGGGCACAAATGTTAAATTCAGCAGTTTTATTTACTGCAGTTCTTCATCTCCACCTCTAATGAATCTGAGACACTGTTACATTCATTTAAGCATCTCTGTTGGATTGGCTTAAATGAATGGTACACTGTGGTCAGTTATACAGTACGGTGTTATTATATGACATGTAATGAGTGCCAGGTGTGTGTAAGGTTAATGTAGTGTGTCATAAACTCACTATGTACTGTACTTTCCACGGCTGCATGTGAATGTTCTTTGAAGAGTCTCAGTGAATGAGTTTATGTATGGCATGCAAACATTATGTCTATAGAGCTACAGACAGCTGTTTACCGTGTGATCCACTAAAAATATTTACTAAGAGTCATAATGATTAAAATAGTATGCCGAAAATAGTGACCGGACCATAAATGGAAAATTACAGCAAAGAATTTCATGAGGGAGGAGAATCAAAGACTCATTATTTCTCTCCCCAGTTATAAAAGCTGCTCTCACTTGTTTGTTATTGATTTATTCATGCAGTCGCTTCGCTGATTGAAATGTGTGAGCAGATTGTTTGTGGCACTGTACGGCTGCAGAATACCTGTGCTGGTTTATCCTGGCAGACCGTCTGCTCTACATACACATTCATATCAACAGCATCAGTCAGTCTGAAAGCTAAACAGAGGTGTGTAAGCCAGCGATGAGACACACACTCGGCTTCTCTTTAGACCAGGATTAAAGATGGTAAAGATTACGACAGCGGGTTTACTGATAGAAAACAGAGAACACCCCACTGGCCACATTCCTCATTAAACACACACACACACACACACACACACTTTCTGTCTGGTCTGAAACTAATTTTCTGACCGCAGGGTTGTTAGTTTACGACACACTACAGAGAGAAACTCAATCTGCATTCCCATGAGTCTCTAGTAATTTGAAAGTCCATCCATCTCTCTACCTTTCTATCTGTTGTTCAAGATAAATGGATGGACAAAGACTCCCCGAACTTTCTACTAATATCACATAACCCAGATGTTTGACAAAGACCATCACAATAATGTATATAATGATGTCATTTCAGAATCTCATTTCAACATTTTGCCCCCCAAAACAATTCAGGACATAAATGAAACACTATTTAATGACAGCCTGAAATCTTTTGCTAATTTTTGAGACCTAAACTGTTAGTTTATTTAAACAAGACCCACATTTTTAGGGTATTATCAAGAGATTATTGAAATCTAGAGAAGGACAGACAATGAGGTGCTCTGAATTTTTTGTGTGAGTCTCACATAATAATAAAATGTTATTTATTTTATTTTTATATTGTTATTAATTTCATAAATATATTTTAATATATTTATTTTATTCATAATAGAGCACAATACCATTTAAAACAACTTAAAAAGCATATGGAAAGGATTAAATAAGAGAAACTATATGTTTAGATTATTTAGAACTGAATTACTGAGTGTCAGCGGTCAATCAGTGACAGACATGTCTCAATGAAGTGTCCTTGAAGACGGCATCTGTTAAACATAAACCACATGCTTCACATGTGCAATGCATTCTTTACATTGTATCTCCTTTCCAGACTCTCCTAGAAACATTCAAGCATCTCAGTATCAACAGACCTGAAACACACTTTATGCCATTGTAATAAAATAGTGGGTTCCTTGATCAGTGTATTGTGGACTTAAAAATGCTTTAAGGCTGCAGGTTTCTTAGCTTTCCAGATTTACTGAATCATGGCTTTTTGTTGGTTTTTTAATTGGGTACTTATAAACCCACTGTAACCAAACACTTATTGTGACTTTTATTTAAAACACAGCGGGGAATATAAGTGAAATTCCTTTCTTCCAGAGCGATGTCCACTTAAAGCATTAAGAGTGCATGCATTCAAACCTCACCTCAAGGAAATATCCAGACAGTAAACAGAGCACATGGGGAATGCTCTTGTGCTATGAATGGCATGCTCATAAATGATGGTCAACAGGAGTTCACACTTTGTCTAAATTTTAGAAGAACCTTGAAGTGCCGTGCATACTTGCAGTGCTATATATATATATATATATATATATGTAGGACGAGTCTTACTTTAATTCATTGATTGGATGGTGACGTGTGTCACTATATAGTTACAAAACCTAAACATTAGGCTACTAACAAAATGACATTAAATGTACTCATTCATAAAGTAATTTGTTTCGTTCCCGAATGAATCAGCATTTATGAATGAACTGGTTGAATGAATAATCAATGACTCACTTATTAAGACAGTCAATTGTCGCCACCTACTGGAACACCAAAGTAACCTGCAGAAAGAATCACTCTAAAATTCTCACCGCACACATAGTTTGTAAGACAAGTGGAATGATACAAACAGCAGTTTGACCCATCAGATCAAAAAAAAAAAAGCTTTTAGAATAATTAGTACCAAAGTCACGGTTTTTGTTCATGTTGACAGTGATGTTTATGCAGGCAGGGCAGTAAAATTAATTTATCCCGTGCTCACTCAGCTCTGAACATCAGCACCTGGGATCTGGCGTGTCAGTTCAATAACACGGATCACCACACGGAGCTGAACGGCACTGACCGGCTGATCGTACGGAGAGGACAGGCCTTCACCATCAACCTGTACCTGAACTCCGGCTCTTACCAGCCCGGATACAGCCAGCTGCACATCACTGCAGAGACAGGTAATGCACAGAGATTTTAACCTAATATTTTAATACCCCAGCTAACAGGGAACATTTTGAATTTTTTTTTGAAAGTTTCTTTCAAAATTATGAACAAATGTTCTTTCAGTAACATTATTAGAACATTCATTCAAAGTTATGATGGAATGTTCTATCCTGGAATGTTTTAGTTGGACATTCACCTGTTAATCGTTTTTTTTTTTTTTAAATGTTACTATTTGTTTCAGATTGTTCGGAGAACATTCAAATGGAACAGTCCCATAATGTGTGCAAAAATAGAATGTTCCCTGAACATTCACATAACCGAGGAAAAACGTTTTTACATTTTAAAAACTGGATGTTTTGAATGTTATGGGAACATTCAGAAATAATGT